AGATTTTTTAACATTAGATTATATGTTTTTATACCAATCGAAAATAAGTTAAAAATCAATTGATATAACTATAAATAACTAAGATATTTCTTCATATGAGTTTGAGATAAAGTTATAACAACGATAACCAAATTTTTTTTTAAGGTATTATAGAAATATAGAAAAATCATTTTACGATAAGAATTAAAAAAAAAGATGAAATAAAAATTTAAAATAAATTAACAAAGGAGAAAACTAAAATGAAATTGAATTAAGCATTTTAAAATTTTTATGGAATGTTACTGAGACATACCACAAATTTAAAATTAAAAAAAAAAATTGAAATTCAAAAAAAAATTGAATTTACAAAAAAATATTGTCTTGAAATGTAAAAAATAAAAAGTTTTTTTGACCATTCATATTACAGCCGTCCACTAAACGTAACGTCCGCTGTGTGAGCATTCTGCGACCGTCAAGTACACTTGTCGGCTTATATGTATTTTTTCATAAGTTTCGACACATCTTTTTATCACCAAACAAAATCACAAAATAATGCAAGTATAAAAGTCTCAATTACCTCAATCCATCATCTTTTAAAAGAGTCCGAAACAATCTCCAAAATCCATAGCATAATCGAAATCCTCGGCCCCAGTGGCGGCCGACAGAGCAGTGTCCCCTACCGATGTGGTCACCGTGTGGCAAACGGTGTCCGTAACATCAGGCGCGTCAGTTTGGAATAGAGCAGCAGGAGAATAGTCGATCGCTCCCGAAGCGGCGACTCCGCTTATCGCCGAGATGTTGGAGCAGTGTGCAGCGGGCACGGCGTGCAGAGTGAAAGCCCCATCGTATTGGGACCATGACAGACCTGGTAAGATAGAAAAATGTTTGAATTTATTCTTGACAAATAATTGCAAAATATACATTTTATACCGATATTGATATATTTATGCAGGGTATCCGAGAGCTCAAGGTCAAGCCAAAACAGGATGTAGTGTTGATCATAATCATCATGAAAAAAAAATTAGAAAAAAATATATCGCACGTAGTTTGAAAATTGTGAGCTTTTAAGTGCAACCTAGAGCTTTGTTGAAAATGTGATAACTTTTTTGAATATTGAGGTTAATTTTTATTAATTTTGACCATTCAAGCTTTTGATTCGTAATCGTAAATAATATTTCTCAGTCCACAGTCAAAAATAATAGCATACTTGCCCCAAGTTTTCAAGATTTAATATTTTATGTGTTATGTATTCTGCGTGTTCAGTTATGAATCTAAAATATTCAAAATTGGACAACTTCGAGAGGTTATTTTGAAAAAAAAAATGCAACAACTTCCTGTACCAAAAATTTAAACTTTAGAAAATTACATCTTCTGAATTTTTTACAAAAAAACTTTTTGAAATATTAGAATTTTTTTTATATTCTGGAAAATTTGAAATCTTGTTTTTAAAGCATTCGCTTTGCATAGCTATTTTAGAGATAGCATATCGAAAAACTAGTGGTGTATGGCATCGTGCTTTTTGGCAAATTGATGAAACTATCCGTACCGTAGTAAAATATTCGAGGAATATTAAATGTTTTCAAACAGATTATTATAAATACTGTAACTCATATATATTACAGAAAAGTAAATAGACAAAATTCAATCAATCGATCAAAATGAAGGACATTGTCTAATATTTATAAGAATTATTTAAACTGAATTGCAAAATTATAATTATTCAATTTAAGTATATAAGTGAGCTTTAGAACTTTAGTTAAAATTAAAATTAAAATTCGAATTATTTTCAATATTAAAAAAAAAAATCCAAAAGCAATCGTTTCGTCAACACAAGCAGAAAGATTTTTGAATCATTCAAATCGAATGCTTAGTTCTTTCAAAATTTGCCATTTTTAACTTCCTATAGGACAAGTTATAGTAATCGCAAAAAAATCGAAAATAAAATTTTTTATATATTTTTACGTTTCAAAACCTTCAGAACATTTTGGCATACCTTAGAAAAAATTGATGTATGTGTGTGTGTGCGCGTGTATGTATGTGTGTGCGGATACAAATTTTCGTCGACGATTTCGGGAACACAGATGAAGCGATTCGAATAATTCAAAAAGCATTCGATTCGTATTGATGAGGAGACGTGCTGATTATCTTTTGGCGAAGGCAGGTCTAGCCATTGCAAAGATACGGGGCAAAAAGTGCCAAAAATGGTAACTCGGTTTTTAAGAGAACGGAGCGTCCGATTTTAATAATTCAAAAAACATTTTACTTGCATTGATAAGATGAAGAATTAATCAGATCCATTTTTTATGAAGGCAGCTCTAAAGGTTTTGGAGATCTAGTGAAAAAAGTAAAAAAAGCCATAATGATCATTAGACATATGCACATCAAATTATCAGATATTTTACAGAGATTTTAATAAGTATAAATTTTGTTTACATTCCTATGGGTTTTGAACCAATGTTCATCCGTTAGACGGCGACGCGGCGCTTACGCGCTTTGATATTTCGTCTCTATGCAGTTAAAGCAGTACGATTGCTTTGAAGAAAAGTTCAGAATTTCCAAAATATGTCAAAAAAAATAATAATTTTTGGTACGGGAAGTTCCAGCAATTTGCCTTAAGGCACGATGCCATGCGCCCCACTAGTTTACACATTTAGCTCGGTATCTCCGAAACGGCCGGATCTGCCTTTGCCTAAACTAATCAGCACTCTAATCAGCACTAATCATCTCTTTATCGATAGAAATGGAATGTTTTTTGAACCATTAAAATCGGTTGATGCGTGCGCCCGCAAACGTGGACGAAAAATTATATCCATATATACATACACACACACATCTATTTTTTCTGAGGTATGCCAAAATATTCAGATACCTTCAAAACGTAAAGAAATCCAAAAATTTTCAATTTCGATTTTTAGACGATTACAATAACTCACCCAACGTGAAGTTAATAAACAAAATTTGTACTTATTAATAAAATCTTTATAAAATAGCTGATATTTTGATGGGCATATGTCTAATGATCATTTTTAACCACCAAATGGTCCTTATTTCTACATTTTTCATCCGATATCCAAAACCGCTGGACCTGAATACTAAAAAATTTAAGTTGATTTTACTAATATAGGTAAAATGTTCTTGGATCATTCAAATTGGATGCTTCTTTCTCTCAAAATTACTATTTTCGGCATGAACCGAATTCACATAAAAAGTTCCATTTTTGGATCCTGGGAAAGTAAAATATATAATTATTGTAGCTAAATATTCAACAATTTAGTCATGACATAGCGAAATTTAGGCTAAATTATCATAACTTTGATTTAAACTAAATTGTTTTGAACAGTTTTCAAACTTTACTCCACATTTTGTAAATAACAATTAAATCTGTATTGATTCTAATTGAATTTGAAAACTAATGCATATTTTATTTAACTTATTTATAAAATTAAACATTGAAATTAATAAAACAGAATATAAATGAATTCTTAGAATGAACTTTATTGATACTGCTAATGAAAGATCCAATAATCAACTATATTAATGCAGCTACTTTCAATTCCGTTTCTTATTGTTTGCAGAGAAAGAGAGCAATCAAGAAGAGAAAATCAATAGAACGACATTGAAAATTTTATGAGTTTTCAACTTCAAAATTCAGTCAATATTTTATCTTCTCTGTAGAAATAAAGCAAAAAATATTGATTGATGGAACTACTGGCGCATCTATTTCAAGTTGTTCTCTTTATGGAACTGCTGAGATGGGGCTTACAAAGAGATGAGATAAAGTTAAGCGAATAATATGCTTCTCTCAGTATCGCAAGGCATAAAAATGCATGTTTTCATAAAGGTGCCCTATTATATGCCGGAGCACTTTTCATAAATCCATGTTATTCATGAACATAAAACGGGCACATAAAGTCACATACACTCGAACAATGTTATATCTGAGCATTATTATTTGTAGAAGATTCTTCATCGCGTAGGATGTAGTTTCCATTTTCTGAAATAATTTGACTACAATGTGTCATGTCTAAATAATAATCTGAATTTTATATTAATTTTAATTTATGAGTAAAGGTATAAGTGGCATTCTGCCTTAAAGTTGCATGAACCTCCCGATATGTGTAAATAATCGATATCGACATATATTAATAATTCTTGATTTATACAATATTTGATTTACTTGTCTAACGGCCTACTTGTTTTTCTGTTCAAGTGCCTATCTTTTCAAATGACTACCTGTATAAGTATCTACCTGCATAAGTTTCAACTTGTCTACTTTTTTCCACTTGTCCACCAGTTCACATCGGTCTAGTCAACAGCCTACTTTTTTAACTTCCCGTAGGGCAAGTTATAGTAATCGCAAAAAAATCGAAAATGAAAATTTTTATATATCTTTACGTTTCAGAGGTTTCTGAATATTTTGGCATACCTTAGAAAAAATGGATGTATGTGTGTGTGTGTGTGTGTGTGTGTGTGTGTGCGTGTGTGTATGTATGTGCGGATACAAATTTTCGTCGACGATAAGGAGACGTGCTGATTAGTTTTTGGCGAAGTCAGGTCTAGCCGTTCCGAAGATACGGGGCAAAAAGTGCCGAAAACGGTAACTCAGTTTTTAAGAGAACGAAGCGTCCGATTTTAATAATTCAAAAAACATTTTACTTGTATTGAAAAGGTGAAGAACCGATCAAATTTTCATAAAGGCAGGTCTAGCGGTTTCGGGGATCTAATGAAAAAAGTAAAAAAAATTGCCATTTGGCGGTCAAAAATGATCATTAGACATATGCATATCAAATTATCAGATATTTTATAGAGATTTTAACAATAAGTATAATTTTGGTTTACATTCCTATGGGTTCCGTACCAATGTTTACGCGTTAGACTTCGACGCGGCGCTTACGCGGTTTGATATTTCGTCTTTGTGCAGTTAAAGCAGTACGATTGCTTTGAAAAAAAGTTTAGATCTTTCAAAATATGTCACAATAAAGAAAACATTTTTTTTTCAAAAAAAAAAATTAAAAAAAAAAAAATTTTTTTTTTTTTTTTTTTTTTTAAAAAAAGTAATTTTATTGTCTAATTGTTTGTCAAAAATCTTATTTTTTCGAAGTAATTTTTTTTCAAAAATGTTAATCGTTTTTAAAAAAATAATAATTTTTGGTACGGGAAGTTCCAGCAATTTGCCTTAAGGCACGATGCCTTAATTGCCTTAAGACAGAATTCCACTTACAGCTAGTTGTTGTCTACTTTTTTACCTTTTTACCTGTCTATCTGTATATGTGTCAACGTGTCAACTTATATACATGCCTATCTGTCTATTTTTCTACTTTTCCTCGAGTTCACCTGTAAACCTGTTGTGAATGATCATTTTAAGCATAAAAAATCGTTTTTTAACTTTTCTCCCCGATTCTCCAAAAATCGTATACCTGCCTTCACAAAAATTTAATCAACTTTTCACTCCGTCAATCGAAGGTCTTATGAATGAATCGGACTCTGTTCTCGCAAAACAGTAAATTTTATTTTTTGCACTTTTTGCGCCGTATCTCCGAAACGGGTGGACTTGCCTTGGTCAAAAACTAATCACCATGTTTTCCCAACAATAAAAGTCGAATGTATTTTGAATCATTCACATCGGTTAATCCGTGCTCTGGAAATCTTGGACGAATATTGTAGCCATGCATATATACACACACACGCAAACATCTATATTTTCTAAGGTATGCTAAAATGTTCAAAAACCTCTGAAACTTACTCGCAGTTAAAAATGGCTCGGCTAATATTAACTTAATTATAACCAACGAAATATTTTAAAACCGTTCAAAAAGTTTACCTGTATACTTATGTACCTGGTTACATGTTGTTCACATTTTTAACTGTTAACTATAAAAAAATCACAAATAATCCATTTTATAGACTTCATATTTTCTAAAATAATTATGAAACTATTAAAGTATAAGAGTCTAAAAAATTTCGAGTAAATAGGAAAATTGAAATCAGTTGAAATAGGAAATATAGATCCAATGCCTTGCTTTTAATTTTAAAGGAATTTTACGAAATAATAGGTATATTATTTAACCTGCATATTTTTTACTAAGATATGGTACTTCGTCAAAAATATTCATCAGTAAAGTTGACTATTAATTTAATTATTTTTTTGTAAAATTGCTTTTCTAACTTATTTTCCTTTTTTATGTACTATGTATCATTATTTAATTTTTTTCCAATGTGAGGACTCAGTTGGTTCTTTTTACCCTAACCACATATTGGGATAACAGTGAAAACTGTTGACTCTAAAATAAAAATAACAATACATCGTATAAAACAATCAAATACTTAAAAATCATATTCAGGTATCACAAACTATGCTTAAAAAATAAATAAGATAATGGTAATGGACCTTTTACCTGTGGCCCTTCACGCCCCGTAATGAGGTAGTCATTACAAATATGCAGTTAAAGTTCATGATATCGACGGTAGCCATCAAAATATTTAATTATCTATAATATAACTAATGTAAGCAAAAATGAATCATTACTACTCACCTCCACTCCAAACACCATTAGGCAGAGTAACCCATCCCCAGCCTCTGCCCCAAGGTAGTTGATGACCTAAAGAACCGCCTCCTGGACGCAGCACAGCAACTGCTGCATCGTGAGAAGTTGCGTTGGCTCTACTGCGTTGACGTTGCTGATCAGCTGCTTCTTGCTCCAATTCGATGGAGGATGATGCTATATAGGAGAATTATTTCATTCACTCAACGGAATCGCATAATATAAAAGTTATAAAGAATTATTTCATGAATGCACAATGATTATGTAGATAATCTACTAAAAGGTCAAAACTCATTCTACAAGTGCTAAATACTAGGAGTAACAGAAAAAATGATTTGGTGTTTAATTTTTTGATGTGATTCATTTAATTTGATGATATTATGATCAATCTCAATTGTTTTCTTACGTCTTAGGTGCATTGACCACTAGTAACATAGTATTTTAATTAAGCAGAAAGTTCCTACCAGAAACTACATTAACGTATTATTAAGGCAGCGGTTTCCAACATGTGGGGCGCGCCCCCTGACTGTTACAAAGGGACGCGTACGGCTCTTTCCAAAATACAATTTACGAAAATAAACTAAAAATTTTGAAGTAATATAAAAAATAAACTAAAAAATAATATTCTTTTTATGAAATTTTTAACATAATCTTGCATATTAATTTGTAGTCTGATATTATCAGTTGTGTATTTATAAAATTAAATTGTTGAAAATTGTTGAGCAGGGTGGGGGGCGGTGCGAAAAAGGTTGGAAACCACAGTATTAAGGATAAAAATAACTAATTAGAGAAACCAATTTGGCCATATAGTTAGGATGGAATGAGATATAAGAGTCTTGAGTAATGAGATGCTAATTTTTAAGAAGACAGTTCACAAATAAATCGTTTGATCATCTTTGTAACATCTACACATGAAACATGAGCTTAATAGGATTGAATCCTAAATCGTGAACTTCGCCGAGTTCCGAACAATAAAAAAGTCCTTGCACTAAATACAAGTATTATTCTCTACTAGTGGATCCTTTTGTCTGGTTTTAAAAGTAAGTAGAGTAGAAATTAGCCAATGAATTATGACATTCAATGAAGTATCCTGTAGTATTTATGAAATAGTACTAATAGACTATATTCATTGTATTAAAATGTGATTTTTTTTTCAAAAGTGAACAAGAAAGAATGAATAATCAAAATTGCATGAGACCCTTGATAATTGCAATAAAATTAATCGATATCATCAATTGGTCGATATCAATGGCATAAGTCCCTTTATTTTAAAAAATACTAAGAAATTACAAATAATAAATAAAAATCCAGAAAACATTACAAAACCACTTTCAAAATAATTTTTTGAAGGCTAGATACACGTTTGAACTGATTACTGCGACAGTTCTGTGACAATAACGCTCAACATCTGACAGAATTGCGATTATTTGTGATTTTGAAAACGTTACTAATTTTTAAATAAGACGACTTTTATCCGTATTTCTCCTATTCTATTTACTAAAATTAAACTATGAAGTGGTGCTAAATTTGACAATAAGCAAACTTGAGAATTGATATGATAATGCACAGTTTTTCACACCAAAATCTTTCCACAATCAAGTTGGAAGCACTTAAACCTGCCTATTTAAAGATCTAATAATAAATTTGAAAAGAAAAAATCAAATATTATTTACGAGGAAAAAATGGAAATGGACTCTACTGACAAGCAAATTAAAAGTAAAAGCAAAAGGGACTCTACTGACTCTACTGACTAGAAAACTAAAAATCAAATAAAAAGGGATTCTACTGACAGTCCAACATAAAATGAAGGGAAAATGAACTCGAGTGACAAATAAATTATATATGAAAGAAAAGGGACTCTACTAATGACCAAACTAAAAAGAAAAGAAAACTAAAAATGAATGCGATATATTAAAAAATTTAGTGATTACATATAATAACAATAACATATAATCGTCAACTTTGCATATTTTTTCTATAAAGCTATAAAATATCAACTTACGTCTGATCCTGACAACCGGTCTCCTTTGCGCTCCAACTGCGTGCGGTTTGTCCAGGATAAGTTCTATTCTCGGAGGCGGCGGCAACTGCAATAGTTTCAAGTAATACAAATAACAAGTTAAATTGCGACAACTATGAACTAACTTAATCCACCAAAACTTAAGCTATTAATATTCCTGTCAAGTCACAAAGTTCAAGATGCATAAAATAATAAGAATTATAAAGTTTCATGACTCTAAGACATATTACAAAAACCTAGGTGATCATGGAGATTAATGTAAGAAAGCATTATTTTTTATGTTTGTTTTAATTTAGGATTGTATTTCTGGATTTTTTTTTAATTTAAGAAGTTAGAATAATTCAAATTATATAAAAAGTTTAAAACATGAATATCTTGAAACTTGTTATTGGAGGTTCTTCAAAAATTATGGACAATATTGTAATTATCATTTATTGGAACAGATCCATTTTTTTCTGGGTTTCTTTCTATTATTGTCAATAGACATTGAGTAAAATATAGAGCGAGTATATGCCAAATAATATAATTCAATCCTACAAATTGAGTGGATGAGTCTTAGATTTATATATAACTTTCATATATATTTTTTTAGTTCTGGTACGGCTAAAATTTCTTCTAAAGAAAACCTGGAGACTATGTGGAGTGTCAAAACAGTTGCTCGATCGATGTTCTTCTAAAACAGTGTTTACCAAAGTGATTCCTATAAACCCTCGGGGTCCAGGACAACTTTCAGTTGGTTCACTTCAGCAAAAATAAAATTTGGGGTACACAGTAATGGATCACAACACACCATAATAATAAATATTTACTTACGTTATACGATATTATAATATATAGAGACTTATAACAGACGTTATAATATAGTAATATATATATACATATATAAGAACAAAATATACGTAATATGTAATGTGAATGAATACAATATTTTGTCCACGATTTCGGGCGCACGGATCAAAATTCAAATGATTTGAATGATTCAAAAAACATTAATTTATAGATTAATTTAATTATATTACAAACAAATTACAAATATTGCTTATAGTTCCTAGTTAACTTATTGTAATTGACTAAATGCTTCTAACAATAGAGATGCTTAATGGAGTAAATACATGTTTGAAGCAAAAACTATACGGAAAAACTATTACGGTCCTATACGGAAATACGGAGCAAAAAGTGCAAAAATTAGGAATTCAGTTTTTGCGAGAACCGGATATCCGATTAGATTGATTCATTCGATTCGTGTTAACGGCGAGTTGTACTTGTTAGTTTTTTGGTAACTCGTTTGGAAAATACAAAGCAAAAAGTGCTAAAAAATGCAGTTTTTAAGAAAAAAGGAGCATCCGATTCGAATGATTCAAAAAACATATTGCTTTTTGTGTTGACAAAAATAATTTGATAATAATTATAGCTATTCTAATTCTAAAACTCACTAACTACTCGAAATGAAGAAATTAGCTCTGAAATTTTTAGAAATATAGAATAAGGTCTTTCATTTATGCAGAAAATTATAAGCTCTTATATTTAGTCTACAATAAGAGTTCCAGTATTTATAATAATCTATTTAAAACGTATATACATATTTTACAGAAAATTAATAAAAGTTGCATTATTTATAATAATCTATTTGGAAACATTTAAAATTCCTAAATATCTCATGACGGTACGAAAAGATTTAGCAATTTGCATTTAGGCACGACACCATGCACTACTCAATTTTGGTAGTATCATTATTCTAAATTTCCAGACCAAAAAACAAATTTGAAAATGTTTGATAAAAATACCGGTGATGATGAAAACTATCGGCAAAGCTTCCAAACAGTAATGTTTAAAATTTTACAAAGAGAACTTTAATTTATAAAGGTCTGATAATGATTAAATCGTGTTTCTGTCCAGGGCATAAAGTGGCACGTGGTTTTCTGCTTGAACAAACCTTCAATATAACTAATTAAACATGTACATATACGGTATTGTTGCGAAGTTTAAACTCGGCGAGATACTCATTTTCAACAATAGGAATTATATCACGCCGTAACAAACACGTATACTTTGCTATTTGTATGAAAAGCTCAGGATTAAATTGTCAATCTATTTAATTTAATAATTGCGTAATTAATAACTGTGAATAGTGATATAAACGCAATTTATTATAAGCTTTGTAAATTAATTGGCTTATGCAACGTGCTCATTATAATTAATTTGTTAATTGTTTATTGGAGATGTATCAAAATAATTGCTCGTAGAGTTATAGAATAATATAACGTTATAGAATATAAAAAAAATATTTTTCGAGAAGATTTTTTTTAACTTCTCTAAGGATATAAACATATCCTTAGAGAAGTTAAAAAAAATCAAAGTTTTCGTCAAAAAAGTCTATATGCTGATTTTATGTTTTCTCGATGTTTCAAGCCATTCTGAGCCGAATGACACCATATTTGGAAAAAGTATATGTGTGTGGGTGTGAATCTGTGTGTGAACAGATTTTTGACCTTTCGTCGACGTTTTCTCAAAAACAAAAACAAATTTGATAGTCGTTCGATGTAACTCGATAAGGATTAGCATTTGTCAGTTTTGCGCGACGATCAGCCGAGCCGTTTTTATAAGACTATGGTATGTACCGTCAAAAAAAAGCCATAAAAATCGTCGAAAAAAAAGTTTACAAATATCTGTTCACATACACACACATACTTTTTCCAAATTTGGTCTCACTCGATTTAGAATGGCTTGAAACATCGAGAAAACATAAAATTAGCGAATCGGATTTTTTGATGAAAACAAACTTCTCCTTGGGGAAATCAAGAAGACAAAAGATATAAGTTCAATAAGAAAAAATGACACAAGAACTAGAAGTCAATGAAGAAGTTAATAAGTAAGCCAAATAGATTATTATATAAGCCGAAGTAATTAGATATCGATTTAGAATGACAGTAGTTTTTGAGTTGGGCTTGGCAAATTAATCTGTAATACTACAAAATCTTGTAACCAGTTGTATGAAATCAACAGTAAATTTATTAATTAATGTTATCAAGCAAAAAATATGATCATGAGCTGGATCAGAAATTATTAGCTGCAAAATAAAAAAAAATTAGGTGCTTGCTTTAACAAATTTGAATAATATTGCAACTGAATGAACTGAATTGAATAATATTATAATTAAATAATATTGCAACTGCATGCATATTCAAACATGTTTGAACATAAACTTTTAAAAATTTGTACGAAAAAAATAAATGATTCAATAACGACATTTGAAAAATCTTTAGAATTGATTAAGATGTTTAAAACAATTGAAGGTTAGGTTGAAACAAACTGGCACATTACATTGTAGCATAAATTTTACTTTATATTTTATATTTTTTGTCAGTTTTCCATCTAAGCTCCTTGGGTCGTGTCTAACTTTATTTCTCGCCCAACAAACTGCTTCATATGCAATATGGGTATAATCGTTTTTGTTTTAAAAAAGTGGAAAATAGCTTTTTACCCTTTTCATCTTCACAATTTATTCCTTCAACTTTATTGCAAAACTCTCGAAACAGTTTTTGACGATCTTTTATATAGTATGCAGTAAAATGCAAATGCAATGGAAATTTCATTTTTAGTTTGAGTTTTAAAATGCATCGCAGAATAATTTTTTGATTTTCCCGTAGATGATAATTAACTTAAATTAAATGGTTGATTTTTGAGAGAATTTATAACTAGTATTATCTATACAGTGATTGTGAAATTTAAATTAAATAAATTTGATATGTCTGCATTTTCATTCATAGTTTTTATATAAACTTGCCGGGTTAAAATTTTCGAAAAGGAGTTATTTTCCTCGTAAACAAAGACTTCAAACTAACAAATTTTCCTAGAATTCCTATGATTCTGATAAAATCTATAGAGATGCAGGAAATACTGTTTGACAATTAATTTTAATTAAAATTGAATAAAGCATTAGCATTTACTGCACTTCAAAAATATTTTCTGGTTTCAATTTTCTCATTGATGTTGCTAAGTTATGAATTTAATAAAAAATTAAGAGTAGTTATTTAAGAAATCACTTACCGTTTTCGCAATAGCTTCTATCCATTCGCTGCATGTTTCAGAAATAAATTATTAGACAATGTTTACATACATAGTATATATATACTAGCTGAACCGGCAAAAGTTCTGCCATAAAAAGTATTTCTAGTATAAAATGTGTAGGTGGAAGGTACAGCTTATAATAATATGTGAATGGTTTACCTACTGCAAAGCACGCCACATATAAATGTTTTGAGCCATTTTAATAGTCTTTGACTTGGCACATTTGAAGTTTCGAAATATTGATATATTATTACCGCAATTTTCATAAATTTATTAATTTTTGAATTAGAAAGCCACATATTGTTATGTGGCATGCCCAGCCAATTGACCGAGTTTGCAAAAAATTGATTGAGTGGAAAATTATACAGCTTTGCCATAGCTTTGTATGATACCTAGGTTTCCTATCAAAAACTGTTGTATCTTCAGATTTTATTATTTAATCTCCCTATTTTTTGCAAAAATTACTCTTTATTCTAACTATTTAGAAACTATGTACTGGTTGTGTGCATCGGGAAATATTTGTACAGTGGAAAAATGGGAGGGATGGACAACCTATGTAAAAAGAGTTGCAAGTATTTATCAATTCCACATTAAAAAAATTAAATTAAAGAAAATTGATTCGAAAATTAAAAAAACATCAGGGTTGGACAACCCTTAATAAAAATAAATTATTTTTTAAAGTAAGGTTTTATTTTTCTTTTAATTTAAAAAATCAGAACTAAAATCATGTCAAAAATATTCAATGACTGAACGCGGTATGTAAAATTATTGAATTACTAAAATACTACCAAAAAAAAAATTATCCAAAAATTAAAAACAATATTTTAGGATAAACCATCTTTATTATTTGGGGTTATAAAAATAGATAGTAATCGTTTCTCAGAATTACTGAATACGGATATAAAATTCTGTAAAAAATTCAATAAAAATCGACAAAACCATTTTGGAGGACTTTTTAGACATAAAAACATATTATGTATATTATTATTTATTTATGTG